CGTCATGAATCGACACTATACTGGTGATTCGTTCCAAAACATATGACAGTATATGACGTCATACATTTGCACCATATTGGAAAAGTGTTGGCGAATATTTTGTCATTTTGTGCTCCAAAAATCATTATATCCTCCTAATGAAGATACCAGCAATTATTCTATATTTTTTTTGTATTTGAATATATTAAAACAAATTCTGGCATGCTTTATTCAGCGCACACACGATTAAAAGTTGTTTTATTATGGCCGGATATCCGACACAATATGGTGGCGGCAAACCAGTACAATATAGTGTTAATTGATGACGTCATTTGTATTCGGCAGTATACTGAAAACGTTTTGGAACATACCCTTGGTTGACTATAAATATATTTTACAAAAAAAAAATTGACTTTATATTCCTCCCGTAGAAAACGCCAATTTCATATGTAAGGACCTATTATAATTAATAAAGTACTACAAAACTTTGCAAGTTAATGTTTACTTGAATTAAACAAAAGCTGGTGAATAGGGATTAGAAGCTTAAATATATTTTATTTAAAAAAATAAAAGGGTAACCGTGACCGTTACAGTTACAGCCTATCAAAAGTCCACTGCTGAAGATAAACTTCCTCCATAGATTTCTTTATATTTGCCATAGTTGCCAAGCTCGACAACCACAGTTTTATTATTTTTATGTTATTATTAGAAATATGTTGCTCACCTGGTCTGCCTCCCTCTGTCGCTTTTTACGACAACCACAGGACGTAACTTTTTGCGCTAACCATTTCTAAAAAATGTGCTTTTTGTAGTGTGTCGTAATATTATAATCATATTGATCAAGATGCGATGAATGATAATATTGGTTGCTGGCCTATTAAGAAATTAGGGCAAGCTCCTTGTTCTTAAGTCAAGAATGTTATTGGTTTCCATTGTAGTAAAAAGTAGTAGGTACTAGAACACACAGCGTGAACAAAATCAGTGCGGTAGTACGGGGCGCGTGGAAGGAGGCACAGAGTACCTCTTTATGGCACAGACCACAGAGTAAATTTGAGAGTGCGGATTGCGGGCACTAACGCGTGTTGTCAACAACCTAACCTCGGCGTCTCTTCTAGTACGTAGTATTCGATGTTGGTCTCTCACATTTCTAAAGCTTTAATAAAAGCCAATATAATATGATAAACATTTATTATTATAATACTTTTATAAATCTGTCGTAAAAACAAATAAAAAAGCAATACAAGTTTCGAAATATGCATATAAAATATTGTCCTTACAACTATAAATTTATGTAAAATCTAAAACAATTCAAACACTGACCATTATAAAAATTATCCATTATTAAATGCTATCGGAAAGCCTACCAACAAAAGGCACTTATGATTATATTTTCAGGCATGACTAGGTTAAATAAGTTGCATAAATTGCAAAAATATCAAATACTGTAATAATTATTGACGAAATTGTTAACCTTACTGTATTAAAGCAGCCTTTGTTTCACACCACAATGCTAATATGGTATTGTAAAAAAAAATTTACTTCATCTAAGTCATGAAAAATGGCGTAACTTTTGAGAAAAATCATCCATGCATTACAGTCTATAAAAATCCGCGCCTGAACATAGAACATAGGGGGTTACCTCATAGGGGAGATCTTGACAGTTTTTTGCTATCAGGAAGATAATGATGCCCATCTCCTGTTACAGTTTTGTCGCCTCTTACTACACCCACTCGACGACATGGGATAGTGGATATTCTTACACCGCCATCACACGTCAAAAGTTAAAGTTATAGCCCATAGTCGCTGCTTGGCACAGGCCTCCTCTCATTTCTGAGAGGGTTTAAAGCAAAGAAATGTGCACCACGCTGTCCCAATTGTGCTGGCAATCTTCACATATATTTTTTTCCTTTTTTCTCAGACATGCAGGTTTCCTCACGATATTTTCCTTCACCGCCGAGCACGTGGTAAATCAGCACTTAAAATTGCAATTAACAATTTCATTGGTGCCGGCGGGAATCGAAACCGTGTTTCTGGCGTGCTGTGATATTCACAGCGAGTGCATAGCCCCTGAGCTACCACGGCGTGTACACGACACAAATATATATTGACAGAATAGTGCAAAATAAAACATTTCATTAAATAGTTTCACGTGCATTCATTAATATATTTTTAATTGTTAACTTTAAATTTCGTATCTTTGTAATAAGCCGTTATCGGCCTTACTTGATTATCACTAGTAGTGAAAGAGGGAGCAACTTTCATCATTTATTGAATTGGATTAGTTTTTTATGAGAAAGGCTCTAAACGTTTAAATTTCAACATATCTCCACGATTTGAGATACTGTCTGAATCGCACGCGAACACGTACACATTATAGAATGCGCGTACGAGTTTGCGTACGTGTGTGCGTAATGTAATTAAAAAAATAACCGAGTAATAATAAATTTCCTAGATATTTACGCCATGTTATAAAATTCCAATAATTCTTCGAGATAAAAGCCCCTAAATAAATTAAAAAAAAAAACTTCCCACCTCCGTCTCCGCATATTTCTGAGGGGGTTATAGACTTAGACTAGATTAATAGCTCTATAATATAGAGCGGTTAATCCGTCACTCCAATGTGTGTTGGCAGAGCTCACATGACCTCGCAATATTTTCATACCTCAGACATGTGTTTTTTCACGATGTTTTCTTCACCTCGAGCAGGTGGTATAAATAAATACTTCAAACTGCAATTTACTACGTTACTGACGACGGAAATCGTACCCAGGTAACTTGCGTGTTGTAAAATATACTGCGAGCGCTTAGCCCGGAGCTACCAGGGTCCTAGAGGTGAATAAGGAAACTTTAACGCTGTTTCTTGTTACGGGGCTATGCATTTTGCGTTTTTTCTTTAAAGTTTGTCATTAATTTGAATTTGGTTTTGTTGAAGTTACGCATTTTTCGACAAGACAGCGAATAAAAATAAAAAATACAATTAAGACTTACACCTGCGAAAAATATATTGAGTAGTAAATGATGAACTAAGTTAATGGACATTCAGGACCGTATTAAGTTTAAGGCTACAGGCAACTGCCTATTGGCCCATAAAAAAAACTTGATATAAGAATTTGTACGAAAAGGAAGAGACCCGACAATCACACTACCTAGGAGCCTTAATTTAGCCCTGTGGATTACAGGGCTGGATTAAGGCAATGTGATTCTCGGGTCTCTTCCTTTTCGTACAACTTCTTATATCACGTTTTTTTATGGGCCAATACGTAGTTGCCTGGTAGCCTTTAGCTTAATACGGCCCTGAATGTCCATTAAGTTGGTTATAATTGTAACGAAATAAATTCTATGAATAAAAATATTTTTTCACATTGTTAACGTAAACGCCCTTTTAAGATAAATAACAAAAAAGACACGATCGAACTAGATACAAACTGCAGCTATTTTAAAAATATAACACAACAGATCTGTGATCTTATGACACAAATTACGCTTAAAATAATTCTTTCTTGTTGCTTATAGCATTGCATTTTGAATGCACTTCTTAATTAATCTTTTAATAAATAATATTTGTGTGTAAAGCACTTGGGTATATGACACATTTCTATATTAAATAACACTAGAATACTAAAGATAAACATAAGTCTAAAATATTTTCATACATTCATTTATTAAAATATGACTCTGTATATCTCGCACAGATAAAGAATGGGATTACAAATGGCGTCATCTCTATTCACCTCTCGCTTGCACACTGTCTCTATCTATAATCAAACCCACCGGTAACGATAACAAAAAATAAATTTATTCATGTGTTACAATAAACGTGTTTTGCGTTTTATTGATTTTAACTTCCAGCCCAAGTAACAGAATGATTCATGAATTCAAACTGTTCAATATACTTTTATTTTAGTACTAATATGTTTTATTTAATAGTCTTTATGATTAAATTACTGAATTATTTGTAAATTGATTTAACTCCCACCTCTCAGTTATAATATTTCGTTAATTATTTTATTTTATTACAAAATTCATTTAATATAAAATACAGTCATTTTCCAAAAAAGCAATGTAATGTTTCAATTAATATAGTTTCGGTTTTTAACGTTATTAGAGTTGTTTCCGTTTTTGATACCATGTATGCTGACGGTACACGCTCGATGAGTCACCAATTCTAATCCCATTCTTTATCCGCATGGGTACTAAATATATTGTATAAACTTTTAGTTTCTCAAATTAACTGATTTCTGCCAAACATCATTAATCACTGTCACGTCCGGTCTTGAATAATAAAAAAATCCTTTTTAATGAGAAACTGAAAGGCGAGCTAGGGTCTTAGCATATTTTATGTTCTCATTGATTGCCTTGATGGTCCAGTGATCTGACATGAGTCAAATCCCAGGTCAGGCCAAAATCAGCTACTGGGTCAGATTACATCTCCGGTCGTATATGATTACCGTCTTATCGGACTATAGGAACGAGGGAATAGAGAGTACATTTGTGCTTGAACATACACTCGGGCACTATAATGCCTGTCCAGATTGGCTGTCTCAGTTGAGACTGGCCGCCGTGACCGAATTCAGTTTGGAGGACATTATTATTATTATTCATGCTTTTTGTATTTGATACAAATGCCCAAGGGCTGCAAAAGTCATTTAAAATGGACGGTTAGCTGGAGAGAATCTATCCAAAAGGCTCCTAGGAATTAAACGGGCTCCTTAAAGTGCTAATTGATTACATATTTTAATTTTGAATAAGATCGAAGGTACACTTGGATGTGATGTTAGGAGAGAAGGATTATTTATAAGGAATTGTCTTAACCTGGAATTCGACACTGGCACTCAAGACAGAACATTACACTACATGTATTCTTCAATAAAAATTATGCAATTAATTAAAGTATTTTAAAGACATCCATTAAATACAAAAAGAATTAAACTTACATTATAAATAGCACCGAAATATACCGAAGCATTAAAACGCATTAAATAACAATTGGCATACGTAATAATATTATCATTGAGTACATATTATTTTTCGTCTTTCTTGTCGATGTGTTCAGGGTTGCAAGGCAGGTCGGTTTTTTCTGAAAATTTTATAAGTTTGCATTTTTTTTATATTTCATAAATAGTCTAGTAATATTGAAGGTTTAACTTAGTAATTATCATGCATCATGGTCAACTCAATGATTATTATTTGATTTTTTTAATTTCTTTCCTCATACACTAAACTGTATATCTCTATCCTCGCTGAGGACTATAAGAAGATGGAATGAATGGAGGAAGAGAAGATGGAATGCCTTTCAAGTAAAAAGGCTCTCAAGTTCTTACGAAACTGTACGAAACACAGTAGCTGCTATTTAACACTGGTATTCTGTGAAAGCGTGGTTCTTTGATCGAGCTGATTCATTCGTACAACCATAATATAGCAGCAGCGAGGTTCTACTATTTGAATTTATTAAAAACTGCCTATCAATAATTTACTGCTGATCATATGTATCTTCATAGATTGCGTCATAGGGAGTTTGCAAATATAATAAAAAATCTATTTACGAGTATAAAGTTATAATCTTTGCACACACACAAGCACGCACGCACACACGCACATACATACGCACGCACACTACGCACACTTCGTTCAGTCTACACAATCCGTTCTCTACTAACCTCATTCATTCAACCTCCATTCTTTTACAAAACGTGTTCCATGCTTGCTTCTAACCCTCCAAATAGAGGAATAATCATCTCTTTCTCTCGTCTTCTTAATGTAAATTAGTTCTTACTTTCATCATCGGGTGTAGCGGGTTCAGGCGCGCTGGCTGTAGCGTACGGATTGTTTGTGGGCTGAAATAAAATAATTTAAAGCCGTTGATTTATCTACTATATTAAATTATTCAGTTGTCATTATAAATAATGAAAACTGTTTACTTACAGTAGTAGGACAAGGTACACCACTGCCAGGTGGTAGTGATGGTATTGGGACAGCTTTAGTATCAAGTTGTCCAACCAAACCAATGGCTCCTGTCTTCATTGAGGTGCTACTCCCTGTTAAAACTGGGCTGCGATGGATTCCCAGATACTGGACATTGGCTTGATTGGGACTACCGAGGTAAGGGCTGACGTTGGGGTTTGGCGATGGGTTTTGCGCCAGATAAGGTGAATTGTTAGAGGGATAAGGAGCCAAGCTTTGATTTGGAGTCGAATTGAATGCGGAATAAGGTGGGTTAACCGGACCAGATGAAGTGGGATATGATGGATTTGGACTAGGTGCACTAGAACCTGGATATGGTGAATTGTTCATTTGCGGATTTAAGGGGTAGGGCGAAGTTGCGCCAGGGTAAGGAGCCGCTGCACCTGGATAAGGTTGGTTTGCATTGGGGTAAGACGGAGTTACACCTGGATGAGGTTGGTTTGTGCCAGTATATGGTGAGTTTTGAGACGGATGCGCGGAGTTTTCACCAAGATAGGGAGGATTTGCAATGGGGTAAGGGTTCGGTGGATAGGGGCTCGCTGGAAACATAGATTGATTCCAGATCGGCATTTGGTCTTGTAGAGGATTCGGTACGTTATCCTGTTGCCCCACCAGCGGCATCGTGCCGATGACAATACGCCTAGTATCGTCACTGTCCGAGTGGCATCCTTCAGGACTAACGGTCACCTAATAAAGAAAGGCTAAAACCATTAACATATAATAAACAATTTCAAAATATTTTCGTTAGTATTTAAATAGTTTACAGCTGAACATGTTTTCCCCCACAGCAGGGAGGATAGCCAGTAATCGCCACGGTAGGCAGACGAACTGGCGATAGCAGTACCAGACATCCGATTGTGCTTTTCATCTCGCTATCTGTTTTTTTTTTTATCTAAAAATGAATCAAAGTGTTTCATTTTCAGTATTTTTATTATATACGAAATGATTAAGCGCTGGGTTGAAAAGCGTAATTTTGAAAGTAATAACAAATAACAATAATAAATCCTGGACAGGATTATAGTGCCCAAGTGTAGGCGCAAGCACAGGGGCACTCTCTGTTCCCTCACTGTCACAATCCGATGGGATGGTAAACCGACACGACCGGAGAGATCAGGCGCAGGACCAACGGCTTTACGCGCTTTCCGAGGCATAGGGGTGAGACACCGCCAACTTCCCGACTCCGGGCAGCTACTGAGAATTTCTTGACGGAAAAACTCAATAATTGATTTTTTGGCCCGACCCGGGATTCGAACCCAGGACCTCATGATCAGCAGTCGCACTACTACAACCACTAGACCAAAGCAGTTAAAATCGGTCCAGCCGTATTTGAGTTTTGGCGAGACCAACAGACAGCAACGTAACTGATTGCACCACCAACCTAAAAGAACAGAGCTATTTCTACTGGGTCAGCTATTATTCTATTGGACGACACACACGGTCAGTTCAACTGATCATTCCAACTGATCAGTTCAAACTAGGACTGTTGATATTTTTTTTAAATATCGGATTTTCGATATATCGATAATTATAAATATATCAATATCGGAGTTTTATATATAAGTTTATTTATCGATATATCGAAAATCCGATATTTTAAAAAATATCAACAGTCCTAGTTTGAACTGATCAGTTGAAATGATCAGTTGAACTGAGCCTGTGTGTCGTCCATATAGTGTTCAAAGTTTTCCGGCAGTTGCATCAAGCTCACATCCAATTTGATTGCAGAACCATCACATCAGACAGATAGATTAGGATGTATGAGAGAGATTAGGAGAGTCCCGCGCAAATACAGCAGAACTTTATCATCATTCGAGTATAATGGCAAATCTTAAAGCAAAAGAATGGACGTTATTACATTATCAATGTCAATGGTCATAGATATGTCATTCATAGCAATGTGAGAAAACTCATACAATTACAATTAACAACATACTGATAAAAATGATTATAATGTCAAATACGAGTAGAACATTGAAATGACAAAACTGTTGATTCATCTTTAAGTTTGAAAGTCAATTTTGTTAAAATATTATTGAAAACATGTACGTACATTTGGAGATACATTTATTTTATTAGCGTTTGTATCTTATTATATATTGCGAATCCCTTTTTCTGAGGGCTGCCGTACCCAACGTCTGACTGAAATATGTCCTCTTCTTTTATCAGACGCTTTTTATTTTTTACTAAAGCAATAATGATAACGATGAGCGATGACTAAGGCAGGTTGGACTATGTATTTTTTTTTATATTTATCTGGCTTTACGGCTCTGGGTACATTTAGGTCATTTTATATATTTTTTCTTCCCAATATGCTCATGCGTCACATTGCGAAGTTTCTGGGAGATTTTGACGACAGCTCAACCCAGCGGACTGTTGATGACGACAGCCCTCAAGTTCATAAGGCGCCCAAGCGATCAAATTAACTTGAGGTTTATATCAACATCAAAGCACTTGTTTCGTCGTTTTCTCTAATAGTTCACACGCGCAGACACTTAATTCACAAAATCACATCACTTTTACGAATTAAAATCCACTACAAACCATTATTCAAGCGATAAAACAGGAGCGACAGTCCGTCGTCGGCCAAGTTCCCGCCAAAACTCCTGGACTATGTAGATTCTTTGATCACACAGTGTAATATTTATATTTGACTGACAGCTATCACAGACTTCGGTGAGAGATACTGACATCGTATTTCCATGAAGACATTATGATACTATAATAGCATTCTTAATCATTTGCTCTTGTAAGTTCCTTTGAAAAAAAGCTATCTAGACTAAAACCCTAAGCTAGGTTGAGAGATGGTTTTGGAGCAGGGAAAAGTCTGTCACGCAATGAGTTTGTAACGGGTTTAGGAACTCTGTTTTCTTATCAATTCTCGAAAAGACGGAAGTGGTGCTGAATATGATGGAAATGACGGAAGGAAGTGCACAAATTATAATGTCTTAAATGACTAAAAATACTGATCTTTATAATTCGGCTCCTTAATAAAATATCACATACCTGAAACTCATAGTCTATATCAATGTACCGACAGGTTCCCACGTTACACACATCTATATCAGGCACCTCCATATCCACTATCCAGCTTCTGGTGGTTCCTCCGGGGATGGGACCCTTTTTGATCTCCGCTATCGTTTCCGATTCGTGCCTCGTGTCCGGGTTTACAGATGCATGGAAGGTTATTTTCTGTCAAAGATAAATTTAAATACATTCGTAATAAAACATGAAGAGTTGAAGTCTGAAAAGTCAGAAAAGAACGGAGGTACAAGGTTGGAAGGGACCAATGTATATAATTAGATAGATTAGGTAAAATGTTAGCAATTTTTCTATGTCATTTTATACGTGGTAGAGACATGCTGCAATTATATTAGTAATATAGTTGTAGCACGAATGGATCGGCTCGACCGGGGAAGGACCACGCTCACACAGAACACCAGCATAAAATACTAGCCTAATGCTGCTGTGTTTCGTATGGTGAGTGTAGAGATCCGGAGACCCTTTGTACTGGAAACGAGGCATCCCATCCTAGTCCTCACGGGTGACAGCGCATCTGCATTTCGATTTGTAATCGAGGATAGATGTAGATGTCTATGGGCCGCAGCAACCACTTACCATCAGGTGGACTAAGCGCTAGTTTGTCTCCCTATCCTATAAGTGTGGTTTTACAGTGACGCTTAACGACAGCGCGGTTTCCACCCGCGGTCCACAAGCGCGCGGATAACCCGCTCGAAACTATAAACGAGCTTAGAGTCGCGCGATTTACTGCTGTTGAGAAGCGCGGCCGAATTGCCGCCAGCGCGGGCGATCTGCGCGTGTTGATTGAACTATGTAACGATCCAAGAGACGCAACGCTCGTGGCCCGCGACGCTTACCAACCGCGCTGACGAAAGCGTCACTGTAAAACCACACTAAAAATAAATGTTTGACAATCATTTTGGCCATCGAAGTACTTTTGTGTTACCAGTATAATTAATTATTATGGATCTCGAACGGTTGTAGACAGGTTACAGGTAAAGAAAACAATATTTTTATTGCTTCCAATGCCGGAAACAATGTTGACCTTTCTGTAGGAGCTGGACTAGACTTTCAAAACAAACTATAGTTAGATTGGTTTGTTTTTATGTTGTAAACACCATCACGTTTAAAAATAATATCTAAATAGCTACGATTTTTTACAATAACGTCAACGACAAATAATATTTGCATGTCAAAATCATAATTCAAATGATATAAGATTAAATTAGATTAAAATTACAAATTAGAATACATCTACATTTACATTATTTTACATGTCAAGCAAGTCAGAAAATGAACATTTCATATATTCTTCTATATTATAGAAAACGTGATTCAAAAATTATGTTTTTGTCACTAGTCGAAACTCGTTTAATGGAAGTCTAGTTATTTCTAAAGGCAATTTATTTTACATTTTGATTTTTAACGGAAAACCTTGCTTGGACCCTTTACTTGACTGCGACGTAGTCTAAAAGTGTAGTTAACAATAAGTGGAGGGTAATTAGTGATCTTGTTTACATTTATTTACACCTTGTAGACCGCGCTAAAGAATGTAGTAATACAGTGGTGCCTCGCATAAAGAACGCCTCGCACAGCGAACGCTGCACAAAGCGAACTTCCTATTCGTTCATTTCATGATTCATACAATGAACTTCGCTTCACACAACGAAGTCGCCCGAGCTTCCACGCCGCTGCCGATGTATTGCATCCTCCCGCGCAGGCACTGCACCGTGTTGCCAGATCTAGAGGTTTTTCCTCAATCTAGGGGTTTTTGGAGGACGTTGAGGTTTTAATATCACGAAATTAATCTAGAGATTTTTCTGGATGTTTTTCACTAGTCTTACCAACTTCCGAATTCTTTTTCAAAACAGACAATGCCGATAATCCATTATCGATATAAAATATCGATATGGTAGTATCGCAATTAATTTGTCCTTCTTATACTCATAACTTTTTCTATAATGATGTATTTAACCTACATGTGTGCACAAAATGTAATAGTGTTGGTGATTTAGATTTGTGTGTGCCTTAGTTTTAATTGCCAAAATTTTATTGAGTAGGTGTGCAGTACTATCTATGTAGTGTTTCTTCCCAGCATCAAAAGTGACAGACTAATTTATTCGTAGCATTAGGCGCATTACTCGTCCATTGGGTTGAATAGTCTAAGTACGTAGCTTGTATGTGGTAGAAACTCTTTATTTTTAATAAATCTGGTTCACATGAAACTTGACTGAATAAATATTCAGAGGTTTTTTATCCCCTACATAGGGAAACTAGGGGTTTTTTGGAAAAATCTAGGGGGGAAGGTGAAAAAAATCTGGCAACACCCCACTGCAGTCGTTACACGTTAGTCACTGCGCTTAACTTACGCACGTATCACGGCAGTCGTCCTTTTAAGTTAAACTCAGTATTTTTTTTATATCATGGCTTCTAAAAAAAGCAGGAAGGTGATTACTGTTGAAATGAAACAGGAAATAATTAGAAAGAGTGAATGTGGGGTAAAACAGTGTGACCTCGTCAAAGAGTTTGGCCTCAGCAAGACCACCATTTTCACCATTTTGACAAATAACGATGCAATCAAATCAGCCAAAGTAGCCAAAGGGGTATCAAAACTAATGAAAAAATGTGTTTTTTTTTTAATAATGTTTTAGGTGTATGTATCTAAATAAAAATATATCTTTTTTAATGCAATACAAAAAATTTATCTTTTTTATGTCATCTTAGCATTTTTTTTATGCTACAGAACGAATTATATTTTTAACATGTATTGTTATAGGAAAACGCGTTTCACATAACGAACTTTTCGCATAACAAACTTGCTTCTGGAACGAATTAAGTTCGTTATGTGAGGCATCACTGTATTTAGAGGGACGCCTCAGAACCAAAGAGTATATGATCAATAAATTTACTGGAAACCATAGATAAGAGTGCTCACGACGATTATTTTTTAAATGTTATTTATAAGAATATAATTCTTAAAGAATTATATTCTTATAAATAACATTTAAAAATAATTATATTAAAAGAATTATATTATTAGATAGTTCACATATAAACTTAAAAACTTGGTAATATTAAGTTGCTGAAAGACACGCTGTACTTAAAAATTATATGCGTGTTATGTTATTCAGTATAATCTCTATAACTCGAATTATCCTCAGTAAGTCGAAAAAAGTTGCCATTCCTTTCCACAGGACCCCAAAATACGCGGTATCTCGAATTATTAGACATTAGAAAAAAAGTTTCAAACAAAAGTTTTGGAAAATAAACTGATCTTTCAAAATAAATTTATGCATTTTATAGATTATTCTAATATTTCAAGAGTTATTGGCCGCGATAGAAAAACCGGATGGGCCATAAATCGTAAACGGTAAGTTTTACAAAAAAGTACTGGAAACAAAAGATGCGAAATTTTATTTTCTACAATAATAGTTTGTATAACTTTGGCCCTCAAGTGCATAGTTTCCGAGATATCGGCTGAAAACGTTTCTTCAAGATGGCGCTTGAAGCGCCACCTGTTCATTAAATCGACCATAAATCGTAATGGTTTCAATAATTTTTGCCTAAAAGTGCATAGTTACCGAGATGTTGGCTGAAAACGTTTTTTCAAGATTGCGCTTGAAGCGCCACCTGGATCTGTCAGCATTCTGTGATTTTATGCTGAATAAGTAATCCTAAACCTCATAAAAGAATAAAATTGAATCGGAAATTGCGTGCAAAGTTAAATTCTATTTTTACTGTACTATTTCATAAAACATTTTATTTGTCAACAACGTCTTACAATCGACGTTTCTCTAGCGCTCACGTGACCTTCATACAATTAATTCGATATTATAATTGTTGATAATTTTTATTTTTGGATAAGAACATGGTAATGACTCTAAGTTATATTTACCTTCATTTAAAAAAAAATTGTCTTTGGCCAAACCTAGTATACTCTTTGGCTTGACCATAGGTCTGACTAATAGGTCCAATATACTGACGGTACACGAGTGGCAACAGAAAAACAAGAAAGCGACAAAATAAAACCTGGTGATAATTTGACTCGATGCTTCAACATCATAAATTGAAACAAGTTCACTGAGACATTTATCTTGAGATAAGCTGCGACAAAAATTGTGATAAATTATGGCACGGAAATGTTCACGCGTGAGCTCCATTTCTGTTAACAACGTGTCAACTCTAAACCAAACTAGTTTTTGTTTTTAAACATTTTTTAATTGTTTGAATGTCATTAAGATTCTAAGAGGCCAGTATTCAAATTCTAAAAAAGGTTTTATTGTAACTCAATCCGAAATATTCTATTATCGATCATTTCAGTGTGCCCTAGTACGACGTTAAACTGCGGTTGTACAAATCAGCTTTTATTTCGTTTTATTTTAATTTTTTAATAAACATATTTTTGTTAAATTTGTTTCAGTAATTGTAATACAACACATGCTGTGATTCCCTATAATTATAAGAGCAGTAAATCATGTTACCAAGCATTCATTGCTTTTTTATGTTGGCAATCTAAATAAATTAAAAAACTCAAATGTTTGCCATCATTGCCACGCTCGGCAGGTTGGTTGGCAATCGCAGATTTCTTTTCTCATTGTTATTAGGTAGACGCTTCTGTCCAACTCCTGGTTTCTTCCATATGTCACCTCTTGCCCATGGCGGTGATATACGGTAAGACAAAACAAATAATTGGGTATTCATGTTTGATATGGAGCAGGGCTTAGAAGGATTAAATAAATAATAAAAATGAAGAAAGTTTACCTTTTTAATGGAGAGATTGATGTCAACCTTAACCTTGCCATGATTTGAACAGTTCACCTCAATGGGTATAACCTGCCCGGGGCAGTACCCAGACACAGGCAGTTTAACAACGGTCTCACTGGAGCCGTAGCTCATGCAGCAGCAACTATATGTGTCTTCTAGGTCAAACTGCATCGGTTCCTGAAAAAAAAAGGCTGGTAAGTACAGGTGGCCAGAGGCCCAATTCAATCAACATGGTAGCGGAATTAAATGTTAGACTACCCCAGGAGGCTACCCGCACCCCTGGAGAATCCCTCGCTGAGCATCCACGACCAAGTTACTTCACTCCTAAGCGTGGGTGCCCGCTCAAGACCACCACATGCTCGGGGCAAGCTGAGCAACAAGACCAAGGCGACCCCTGCCACGCCATCCGTGAATTTCTGCAATATCAAGGGACTTCACTCTAATCTAAACGCTGTTCACTACCATCTCAAGACGGCGAGGCCGGCTCTGCTCATTCTGACCGAGACGCAGGTATCCTCTCCGGCTGATGCTTCGTATCTCTCCTACCTGGGTAACAAACTGGAACACTCCTTTGTGCCTCAGAAAGGACATCTGTTCTCGACGCCTCGGCAGTCTTGAAAGTTCGGACCTGTCCATCTTTTGGCTACGCGTAGACAGCGACGACCATCCGCGCGTCTACGGGTGCCTCTATATGTCCCATAGCGGTAATGCCGAAACAGACCGACTTCGACCACGTCCAAATGGCTACAGATTCGTTGGTACAGCAGATTCCCTCCGCAGAGATCGTGATCCTCGGCGATTATATCGCCCATCACGCCAAATGGCTTGGTTCAAGTTTAACCGATCATGCGGGGAGATCTGTTCATGATTTTGCCTTAGCATATGGTCTTACACAACTTCCCTGTTGGACCTTCTGCTGACCTCTCATACGGACGGATATCAGATTTCCGTCGATGCCCCTTTAGGCTCCTCGGTCCATTGTCTTGTCCGGAGTGTGGTGCCACTCACACGCGGTTGCATTCTGCAGGCGGCCGCCGTGTTTGGCACTATAGGTCAGCCGATTGGGATAGGATGCGGTATTTCTTTGCATCCTACACTTGGGGGCGGGCTTGCTTCTCACCGGTCGATCCCAACGTTACTGATTCTGTCGCTGATGTGATACTTCAGGGTATGGAACTTTTTACTCCTTCCACTGTGGTGCCCATCAGAGGCAAATCTCAGCCATGGTTTGGTCGCTTCTGTAAAATAGCATCATGCTATAAGCAGGAGTGCTACCAAGCCAGGGCTGACGCATCAACATCCCGGGATGTAAATACCAGCGCTCTAAAAAAGAAGTATAATTTCGCCTCCAGGCCCTTCAAAAACGCCCAAGGCAAAGACAGAGCACATAGGCAAAATTGGCGAGAAACTAGTTCGCCTTCCTTCTGGAACCCTTGCATTCTGGTCTCTCGCCAAGGCTGTCCAAGGTAATTGCTGTCAGCCATCTCTTTCATCTCTGCACAGGAAGGACGATTAACTGGCCCATGCCGCAAAGAAGAAAGCCGTTCTGCTTGGCTCTTTCTTTGCGTCCAACTCGACTCTCGACGACGGGGGGAGTACGCCGACGACCATCCTGCGGTGTTAGTGCTCCATGCCGGAGGTGTGGTTCACACAGCGCTCGGTTCGCAAAGCACTCCTCTCCCTGGACATCCACAAGTTGAGTGGGCCTGACGGAATCCTCCCAATTGTGCTGAGGATGTGTGCTCCAGAGTTGGCACCGGTTTTAACGCATCTTTTCCGATACTCCTACTCCCTAGGCGTAGTTCCAAAATCATGGAAGACGGCTATCGCCCACCCGATCCCTAAAAAAGGCCGACCGCTCAGACCTGTCCATCTACAGGCCTATCGCCATCACCTTCTTGTTCTCGAAACAATGGAGTCTATTGTAAACTGCCAGCTCTTGAAGTACCTTGAGGATCACCAGCTGATTAGTGATCTCCAATACGGGTTTCATCGTGGTCGATTAGCTGGTGATCTTCTGGTCTACCTGACTCATAGATGGGCGGAGGCAGTAGTCCAAGGGGGAGACATTGGCCGTTAGTTTGGACATTGCGAAGAGGTTCGATCGGGTATGACACGTTTGATCTTTCGAAGCTCCCTTCCTATGGGCTTCCCGAGAAATTGTGCAATTTAATCACTAGCTTTCTTGCAGATTGGAGCATCAAGGTATTTGTAGACGGTGCTAGCTCTGATTACAAGAGAATTAATGCTGGCGTTCCACAAGGCTGCGTGCTATCACCAACGCTGTTTAACGTTCGGTAACGTTCATTGCTATGCAGATGACAGCACTGATGACGCTCTGTACACCGGCCGTGCCAACATTTCTCGGGAAAACGTCTCAGAGTACTGGGACAAACTTGTATCTGAAGTCGAGTATTTGCTAAACAAAAACTCGGATTGGGGGGCGACTAAATCTAGTCCAATTTAACCCGCAGAAGACACAAGTTTGCGCGTTAACCGCTAAAAAGAACCCCTTTGTCGTATCTCCTCAGTTTCAAGGCTCTCCCCTTGTTGCCTCAGCTAGTATCCGAATCCTCAGCGTCGACATATCAAGTGACGTGCAGTTTCGTTGTCACTTCGAAGAGAAGGCCAAATTGGCCTCTAAAAAGCTTGGGGTGCTCAGCCGAGCGGGACAGTATTTCATGCCGGCACACCGCCTGCAACTTTACAAGACGGAGGTTCGGCCGCACATAGAATAATGTTCCCATCCCTGGGCTGGGGCTCCCCAGTGCCAGCTCCTTTCACTTGACCGCATCCAGCGCAGAGCGGTTCGAATCATCGACTACCGAAGGCTTTCCGATCGGCTCGATTCACTGGCACTGCGAAGAAATGTTGCATCACTTTGCATTTTCTTTCGCATATACCACGAGGAGTGCTCTGAGGAATTGTTAGGATTAATCCCAGCCGCCAAATTTCATGAATGCAATACGCGGCAAACCTCCCGATACCATCCACACTATCTGGATGCTTGGCGGTCCACCACTGTACGTTTCACTAGGAGTTTTCTTCCGCGTACGACCTCTCTGTGGAATAGTTTACCACCGGCGATTTTGCCGGACCGATACGACCTAAGGACCTTCAAGAAAAGAGCTTACGCCTTTCTAAAGGACCGGCAACGCACCTGCAATTCCCCTGGTGTTGCGGTTGATCATGGGCGGCGGTAGTCACTTAACATCAGATGAACCGTATATTCGTTTGCCCCCTCTTCTATATAAAAAAAAACGTAGAATACTAGCTTTAGTAATGGAATGCATTTAAAAGGCAATTAAACTAAATATATTAAATTTACAAAAACGAATATAAAAAATCTGAATACCAATGTGTTTTTAAATAGGGAAGAAGAGTCCTGTTGAGTCCTCTGTTTTTCTTGGCATCACTCTCGACGCTAAGCTTCAGTGGGGCCCCCATATATCTAAACTAGCAATCAGACTAAGCTCTGCAGCTTATGCTGTAAAATTAGAGATCTTACTAGTGTCGAGACAGCTATATTAGTTTATTTTAGTTACTTCCATAGCATAATGTCATATGGGATTTTGCTATGGGGAAATACAGCTGATTTAGAAACTATTTTTGTTTATGCAGAAGGGTTCCATAAAAGTTATTTACAATTTAAAACCGAGAGAGACTCATAAAGAGAAAACTCTTTAAAAGAAATAAATATATTAATATTATCCTCACGGTATATTTACAAAAGTAGTTTTAGTAAAAAAAAAAAAGTGATATACATTCTGTAAACCCTAGGAACAAGCACTAGCTAGCGATACCAGTTTCTCAACTCCACAGAGCCAGTAATACATTCTTAGGGCAACGTGTATGCTATTACAACAGTCCCAGAAAATATACAAGGTCTCTCTATTAACAAGTTTAAATATTTTATGGAATTAAGACCGTACAAAAAGGGGTGTTAAAATATAAATGAATACCTATGATGACCTAGCAATGAGGTAGTCGCTTCTAAGCTGTTTCTAAAATAAATTTCGTAAATAGTTTGTACAACCTTTCATATTGCAAAATTTACTTTAAAAGTCTTGCTGCGTTTCTTGCTGGTTCTTCCCAGTTCATAGGTTTTTCCGAAAGGTGGTAAAGTAAAAAAATTACTACATTTTTTAAATCAATAAAAAATTAAAAAAATGAAAAGAAATTATGGCTTCTTTTGTATGACACCCACCTTACAATATGGTTCCACATTCAGATCTAATGGAGCGATAACCCGTATACTCATATTCTTCTCCTGATCTAACTTAAAAGCTCTATCAACTACAATTTTAATCTCGTAGCGAACATGGCCATAAGTGCCTTCAAAAGATGATGGGCAGTAAGCAGGAATTGTACAATCAAACGGAAGCTCATATTTACCAGGCTGAAGGTGGTACTCTCCTGGAAATTTTAAAATAACTTCATATGGTTTTCAGTAAGGTCAGATGTTTCTGTCGGACACTACTTTATGAATGGCACAAATACTTTTCAAAAAGTAGTCAGCTTTTTGCTCATTACTAAATTTATTCTCGAACATACTGCTCACTTTAACGTATTAAACAAGGACTGGTCCTATGTCCTTGTCCATTAAAGCTAAATCCATAAATTGTATCTTAGTCTAGTCAATAAGTTCAAAAACGCGTTAATTCTTGTTCCCGCTCTTAAAAATACGTGCAATAGCTTATTCGATTCGAAATGACGTCTAGAAAAATGTATCTTGAGGATTTAATAGCAACTAAAAATTGCAATTATTAACAAAATAAGATAAAAAATAGGTATTTAGTTTTTCGTTATTAACTCAAAAACTGTTAATATTTAAGAACTTTTGAAAACTTTTGCACTTATAACGCCGAAACAGGACTCCGCACGATCGTAACGGCATGAGCGCATTGTTCATTCATTTTACATCATTTGAAGAGAGTATATAACATAAAATATTTTTTATATTATTAAACATTAATTTAAAAATTTGAAAAAATTATGGTGTCATCAGAACACTTAAATAAATAAAACCCCGTTGAAAAATAATTATGTGGATTTTTCAAAAAGTTAATACGATTGTTAATTAACTAATTCTTTTCCAATCTCTGCTTTTACAAAAGTCGATATAAAAGTTTGAATACTTTACCTATATTTTTTTTACAACTTGGAGTTCTTATATACTTAACAAGATCACGCGATAAAAGTTTATTAAAGATTTAAATTTAGTTTTTTTTTTATTATATTTACAATTTTGAAATTATCAAAAAGTGAAAAATTCTAAAGTTTTAAATTTTTTTGACAAATGTATTATATTGTAAAATATTTCTGTTTTTGCATCTAACAAAACATTAATTTACGCAAGAAAAAACATTTTACATCATTTGTTAAGAATTTTTTTAAAAACCAATAGACAAGTTTAATATTTAAAAAAAAGTTATCATTTTATTGTAATAGCAAAACGATGATTTATAAAAAATCAGAAATAAATTTTTATTTGTTTATAACGCGTTTTTATATGTCGACTGATTAAGTAATTATAATTAAGATTTTTTTGCTATAAAAATCATAATTGGTATTTTTCGGCGTTAAATAAAAATTATTAATCATTGAGAATTGAGATGGATTTCCGGAAATCAGGACTTTTCTATTAGGAGTTTCCTCTTTATTAATGATCTTTTTTCAAAAGTTCTTAAATATTAATAGTTTTTGAGTTATTGACAAAAAACTAAATATCTTTTTGTTATCTTATTTTGTTACTAACAATTGTAATCTTTTATGTGCTATTAAATCCTCGAGATACATTTTTCTGGACGACATTCCGAATCACAGCAGTGGTAGCTCAGATGGTTAATGCTCGCTGTAAATATAACAGAACACGAATAACTTGGGTTCGATCCCCGCCGGCACCAATGAAATTGTTAATTGCAATTTTAAGTGCTGATTTTCCACGTGCTCGGCGGTGAAGGAAAACATCGTGAGGAAACTGCATGTCTGAGGAATAAGAAAACAAATATTTCGAAGACATGTGAAGTTCGCCAACACGCATTGGGACAGCGCGGCGGACACTTCCTTGCCCTAAAACCCTCTCAGAAATAAGGGGAGACCTGTGCCCAGCAGTGGGATGTGTATAGGCTGTAACTTTTATTCCGAATTGAATGAGCTATCGCACATATTTTTAGAAGCGGGAACAATAATTAACACGTTTTGAACTTGTTGACTAGACTATCTGAGCTTGTTACAGAAGCAATTCATTAAATACTAGAGGACTTTGAAGGTTATTTTAATTAAAGAAAAATGTGAACATTGTATTTAATAACAACAAACATTAAAAGAAGAAGGAACCTTTTAACTTTTTTTACAAACAACATGTTTTACAAATGTTATGGTGCTCAACTTACCTCTAAATGCTTAATATTACCACCAACTTAATGCAATCTGTTTGGATGAATTTGAGTTGATAAAGCCTTACTTTATTTTTACTTATTTGAAAGGTAAAAAAATTAACTTTCTAGGTGGTAGGAATTGTGTTCGGCTTAGGAATCTGACTGGGTAGGTCCTTTAACCGATTTCAGTCACTAAGCAGCAGTGTGTGGGGTAGCTCTGGAGGGTATAGATAGCCAGTATAATCACAGGTTGTGTGACATTCTACCTTAGGGGTTTATCACACTGGTGATTTGCAAGCACGAGTTCAAAGCGAGGCAAGTGCGCATCGAGCTTGCAGCGAGGTTGCCGCGAAGACACCGCACCACAGTATAAATAATAGAACGTACGAATAGCGCCGTATTCATTGTATCAACGAAGTTTGAGCTTCTCAATGATGCTATGTCTGCTCACACTCGTGTCTTTGAGACGACTGAAGAGGGGTGGGGCGGGTTGCTTTTTTATAGGAGTGGGGGCAAACGAGCACTTCTAAATCGCTCAGTGCTGGACCGCTAATCATCCAGATGTTATGGACAGTATTGCAAGTTTTGTCACGATGTGCGATGGTGAAAATGAGCGGCTGAAATTTGTCTGAACAATCCCTCAAAGCACTCCGCGTGGTACATGCGATAAAATACGAAGAGATGAGAGTGCCAATGAGTTGAGCCAATCAGAAAGAACTCTGTCGCCGACGATTCAAACGGTTCTGCGCGAAATGCGATCAAATGGAAAGAACTAACACTAGGGCCGCCACAGCCACAGCCCAGAGATGAGAACAGTAACCCATGTAGGCGGTGTGCCAGCATGAAATACTGTCCTGCTCTGCTGAGCACGCCAAACTCTTTAGAGGCAGATTTGGCCTTCTCTTCCAAGTGACCACGAAATTGCACGTCACTCGATATGTCCACGCCGAGGATTACGATACTGGCTAAGGCACCGAGGGGAGTGCCCTGAAACTGAGGAGATACGACAAAGGGGTTTTTTTAGCGGTAAACGCGCAAACTTCTATCTTCAAGGGAATGATTCGGATTATCTATATATAGGAATTCGGCGACGTGTTCTCGGGAAATATTGGCACAACCGGTGTATAAAGAAACACCAGTGCTGTAGTCCACATAGATATGAATGTTACCGGTTTGCTATTATCATTATATGCAGAAGAAACAGCGGTTGATAGATAGCACAAAGCCTTGTGGAACATTAGCGTTAATGGGCTTGTAATCGGAGCATGCACTGTCTACTATAACCGTGATGCTCCGATCTGTAAGAAAACTGGTGATCCAATTACACAACTCCTCGGGAAGCCTATAGGAAGGGAGCTTAGAAAGAAGCACTTTGTGTCAAACCCGATTGAAGGCCTTCGCTATATCCAAAATATCGGCCAATGCCTCCCTTTTGAACTCTACTGCCTCCGCCCATCTTTGAGTTAAGTAACCCAGAAGATTACCAGCTCAGCGACTCCAAGGTACCCCATGAGCTGGCAGTTAATAATTGTTTCCATTATTTTGGAGAACAAGGTGATAGTGATTGGCCTGTAGTTGAATGGATCTGAGGGGTTACTTTTTTTAGGGTTTGAATGCACTAAACTGTCTTCCATGAGTTCGGGACTAGGCGTAGGGAGTAGGAGTACCCGAAAAGCCACATTAAAACCAGTGCCAACTCCGGAGCACAAGTCTTCAGGACAATAAGTCAACTATCTGAACTCCATCAGGCCTACTCAACTTGTTGACCTCCAGGGAGAGGAGTGCTTTGCGCACCGAGGGCTGTGTAAACAGCACATCCAGCATAGAGCACTCAAACTGCAGGATGGTCAGCAGTGTGTTCCCCCCTCATCGAGTCGAGTTGGACACACAAAGAGAAAGTATAGCAGATTGGCTTCCTCTTTTGTGACATAGACCAGTGAGTCATTCTCCCTGTGCAGAAATAGCAGAGAGAGACAAGAAAACTATAATATGAAAAATTAGAGAAGAAGCCACAATAATAATTTTATAGAAGCTGACCGATTTTTTTAAAAATATTTATAGAACTATAAAGACCACTAACAAAAAACGAGGAAATAATGTAATGACCAAAGACCAAAATTCAGGAAACTTTTGTCATTACTTTAAAAAAAATCTCTTGTCTTTAAAGAAAATGAAAGTGGACCCAAAAATAAATTAAAAGGTAACTTTAAACCTGTTTTTTAATTCTATTTAAAACTTTATTTATAAATTTGAGATTGTTTTTATTTTCTTTTTGCTATTATATTTTTGTAAAGTTAAGTAGGATTAAAATTCTGTATTGAATATAACTATGTTTAAATTGAAAGTATTTATCAGATAATTCAAGATTCAATTGATGTTTTAACATTTTTATTGCTATATCTGTAAAAATAAGCATAATGCATAATAATTATAATTTAAGTAACATTTTAAGCACTTGATTTTATATTCACTTTTATTCAATTATTATTTTATTACTGTGTCCTAAAAAGTGAATGAAATAATATGATATATCACATTTTTACATACTTAACTTTCCCATAGTTCATCACCAATTAATTTTTCATATTTTCTTGTTAAAATAACACTTCTTTTCTTTACATATCTTTACATAAGACAATAAACTAATCTAAATAAGTTAGATGTGACAAGAATCAATCTTTATAAAGTAATATAATATGCAATAAGCATATAAACATAGGGTGAACTGGGGTGAATAAACAATATTTGATGCATTAAAATAAATCCTAATAGCATTGTAATAAAGATCAAAATAATAAGTATCGGAAAATAAATGAGAAAATAAACGGTAATAGTATCATAACAAAGAAAATATGCAATAACAGTAAAGAAATTAATATAATCCTTAAGAGTTTTTAATAGTAATGTTTCTAAGCAGAGTTTAACTTTTACTGACAAAAATATCATCCCATTTTGTACAACATTAGAAAAGAATGTGTTTAAAAAGTTTGAGTTTACTGTGCAGTCTCATTGCTTTGAACTCGCTTGCAAATGTGTGATAATGCGTTTTGTCCTCAATGGCAACAACTCATCTTTAGCTTTCCTAATTTGAATTTAGTATCAGGTGCAGATGTTCATGGACTGCAATAGCCATCAAGTGAACTAAGTTTATTTATCACATAAATTATTAAAAAAGTAGGATATTATTTGATCATTCTAGTGGGAAATGCCTAACATCATGGTATTATTTTTATTGCTTCTTTTTTCTTAACAGCCCATCTTCATCTATTGTTGGATATAGATACTTGTTAAAGATGCACTAAATGGACTGCATAAATTAAAAGATTTTCCATATCTCATCAGTTATCACACTAGGCAGGCAAAAAAAAAATAGTACATTTTTTTTTAAATTGAGATCTCATACAGTAGCATTCATACTAACGTAAAAAAAGAGATTATTTGGTCATAATGCAATTGCAAAACATTCTAACTTTTAAGCTTGCCTTACTGTTCATGTACATAATAAATGTGTAATAAAGCACTTAAAAATTAAAATAATATTTAGCTTAAGTTTTATATTACCATCTTCACTGCCTAGAAGATACAATTTTTTACTGAAATACTCCTCATGGGACTCATGAACTTTATGGTATGAGTGGTAACGGTCACCATCTCTTCGAGTGTGGTTGGTAGTCCAGTGTACTTTACAAAAACCTTTTATTTTAACGTATATCCCTGAAAAGTAATCAAATAAAATTGTTTAAACCTGAATTAAATAATTATTTTTTAATAATGAAAAAATATTCAACACTTTTTATTATGCATTTACTTTGATATCATTAGAACCAATTTAAAAGGAATTCAAATATAATAATAAAATTGTCTTACCTCGAAAAGTTTTGACCTTGTCTTGTTGAAATACCAATTTTCCGTAAATAGTTTGTCCGGCATAGTAAGTTCCATTTTCACTATTTAAAATTATGCTGCCTTCATCAAACCCCATTATGTGTGTTATTTTAAATCTTTGGTGTTATTATAACTATACATATAAGTAATAATAATAAAAAATAGTAATAAACTAATAATATATACAGTAATCTATGAAGCTATGAACTATACTTCAAGGTGATCAGGCCCGGTCAACCCTGTAAGGCACAGAACCAGCACGGAACAGAACCATACTTATTATACTCTTTGCTCTTTGATATCTGGTACTATATTCTTTGGGACAGAAACAGAATTGAAATACCTACGGGGGCTGAATTTTATTATTGCCATTTGTCAGATAAATGTCTTCTTTCATAATTAGTAAGATTTTGCTAAAGATAAATTACGCTCAAAAATTTTGAATTTAGAAATAATATTCCATAGGAAGATAACTATGCCTGTCGTATTTTAGCATATCCTTGACAGTAAAAGAAAAATAAATGTTTTCTCTTTGTTTTGATTTTCAATGAGTAGAAAATTATATTTTTTACTGGTAGCACCAAAATATCTAAATGAGTATCGCTGCAAAGGCGAATAAAGAAAATAGAAAAAGTGTTCTAAGTGCAACAGCTTACCAACCATTGACAACATTAAATTATTTAGGTTTCCGAAAACCGCAGTAAAGTATTCAGTTTTGCAGTACGTATACAATATACATATACACTATTTAATAAGTTCTAACCTTAATAAATCTCTTATCCAACTTATTGTTTCTCTTTAACCATTTAAAAACAAATGATTGGTTTATAAACCATTGGACCTACTTTAATAATATTTGTATTTAATAATTATATCTTTTGTTTTCAGCTGTAAATTGTGGGCGAAATATTATATTCCTTCCCAGGAGCAGTATACTACTTTAGCTTTCTAGACAAAGCTATATAATAAGCCCAGAATGCTGTGTGAAAAACATTTTCATGATGGTTAATTTAATGATGCAACCAAGAATAAGCTCTTAAGAACTGCAGTCCCATGTGATGTAAGTAAAGTGTATAATGTATATGGTAATATGGTATGTATATAGTTTTCTTTAAGGATTACTCAGATATTTTATATGGGGATTACTATATTCAGGAGTGGACTTTGATAGACTGTAATGAAGATGATGATGATTATTCATATGACTATCAGCTGGATCTAACATGGACGGACAGACCACATACAGTAGTTTGAATCCTGTTAATGCTTTCAACTAATTTATAATAATTGGATCGGACAAAGCATCCAAAGGATTGAAGTCTATAAAGTTAGCACAAGCTCTTCCTTACATTATTAAAAATTCAACACACTGCATATTATTTTTAACAATCAAATATTTATTTAAAACAACAACAAACCTTAAGAAAGTTCAGGCATTACAATCTATGAATAATTACATTTCGTCCTAAACCTATCAAATTTAAAGACACAACACAGTAGAAATACATGCGTCAAATGGTTCTCAATAGATAAACACAAGACTTCTTTTCATATAGTTATTGTATTTACTATCTTATTTTGTTATATTAATTGTAATAGTGGGTGTATTAGGGAGCAAGTTGGATGAACAAGATCCATTCATTTATTTTGTATTGGTAGAAGGGTAATGTAGTGCCATAAGTAGGGACTGGTTTACTATGAAAGTAACGTCAATGAATATAATGTTAATTTTATTTTATATAATAATTTTATGATACTATAATTAAGCTATTGCATAGCTTCTATCGCGGGCCTTGAGCGCGGGGACCGAATCCAGAAATTCCGTAACGAAAAAAAACCTCACGCTCCCCACTACGACGGGCACGGAGGAGTGGCGTTGAAAGCCGTGCATCGTCTAACGTCGTTTCAGTTCGGCAGACTTCGGCACTCGGCAGAATTCGGCACGGTGTTTGTGTACGTGCGACTAGACGTATGCGTGTACACTAGCTGCTAACTCAATGATAAAAATCCAGAATAACCTACATGTATTGTAAGATATTAAAAATATTTTAAACAATATTAACTTCTCATTTATTCAATAAGAGAAAAAAAATTGTTTTCTTAACGATCACCACGCTCAAAAAGTGTAACTTGATTTAATATCAAAGACTTAACTGCATAAATAAAATAAATAAATAATTATAATTGCATAAGTAGATAAAAAAATGCTATGCAATAGCTTTACCGCGGCAGTCACCGAGTGCCACACGTATTTTTGTATTTCAGTTTTTATTTATTTCCAGACTAACAAAGTGTATTCCCATTTTATTTTGTAGAATCACAAGCTGGTCCCTCGCAAATTATTGCTGCAAAACCACAAGCAGGATCTTCAAAAAGGACAACATTATATCCACTGAAGAACAACCACAAACATCAAAGCATAACACATAATGTTGAACCTAAAAAAAGAAAGTACTCTATATGAAAATGTTTAAAATGAAATAAGGAATATTTTTGTAATCTAATATTTAATATGTTTTATAATTTTATAAAATTAAAATTATTAATAATAATTAAAGAATAGATTAAAATTATTCTATATATAAGCTGCATTCAATACTTAATATATTGCATATAATATAGATACAAAATTTTTAGTGTCAATTCAGGGAAATAGATAGACAACCAAATATTATCAAAACAAAATTATTATTTGTAAATGTTGCACTTTGCACTTATGTGTAGGAGCTTATTTATTAATTAACTTGTTTTTGATTAAAATATTGATATTTTGGTTATCATCCGTGATTGTAAATCTTATATATTATATTGTTTATCATTGTTTACTTAAGTAATTGAAATGTTGTAATCAACATTGATTTTCTTTTCATGTTTTAACCCATCAAATGTCTTTGTAGAAAGAACTAAGCTGCTGGAGAAATTTTGTCTTAAGTTATGCATGTTTTTTTAATTTTAATTTGTATTTTTATTTTGAATAAATAAATAGAAATTTTGTAATTTTTGTTCTTTTATTTAGCGCTGGGATAGGTAAACCAAAAATACCTCAAATAAAAAAAAAAAAACAAAGACCACGTTCAAATTTTCCCGCCACACGAGAAGTGCAGGAGGCTGACGATAGATAGAGCTAGTGGTTATATATATATATAGCATTTCTTAAATTTTGTATGAAGTTGTCGTTCTTTTCCGATAGGAGTAATAGTGTTCTGTTAAGGTGATAATAGAAGTAGAACAAACGTATATATTCAGTAATCTATGGAATAAACCATATAAAACAGGAGGGACAGTAACACACTAGTAAAAACAGGAGGGACAGTAACACACAGACAGTAAGACACTAGTGCCATCTTGTACGATATCCGCATAAACTTTCGAACATTTAAATTCTAAAAGGTGCGCTAGATGGCGACTACACTAATTCTGGTTATTCTCGAACTGGCAAGTAGCAACTTTATATGACATAATGGCTACCGGCGTCTGAGCAAGTTGTTGTTTTATTATAGTTTATAAGTGATTTTCGGTTGTTGTTACAATAAGTTAGGTTTAGTTGGGATTAGCCCTCTGTTTCTTGTTGTCTGTTTAGATTTTCATGCTGGAACCACATTGTATGTTTGTGTAGTATTGTGCGAAATAGACGCTTTGATTTATCATTCCGGTAACCCGGTGGATATATTTAATTTGGTTTGGTGTTGTATTTTGCGGAATAGACGCTTTTACATCGTGTAGGTTAAATATATATAACAAAAATAAATGTAATCTGTAATACATCTTTAATTGAACCGTAATCCCTTAAAATATAAATATAACAGTCTATAGTATAGATAGCTGTATATACATAACACAGAACACTATCACTCCTATCGGAGAAGTACGACAACTTCATACAAAATTTAAGAAATGAGATATATAACCACTAGCTCCATCTATCGTCAGCCTCCTGCACTTTTCGTGTGGCGGGAAAATTTGAATGTGGTTTTTTGTTTTTTTTTATTTGAGGTATTTTTGAGTTGCCTATCCCAGCGCTAAATAAAAGAACAAAAATTACAGGATTTCTATTTATTTATTCAAAATAAAAATACAAATTAAAATAAAAAACATACATAACTTAAGAAACAAAATTTCTCCAGCAGCTTAGTTCTTTCTATAAAGACATTTGATGGGTTTAAACATGAAAAGAAAATCAATATTGATTACAACATTTCAATTACTTAAGTAAACAACGATAAACAATTTAAATAAGATTTACAATCATGGATGAATTGATAATATGCACAATCACAAATCACAGAATGTCTACAATAACCAAAATATCAATATTTTTACCAAAAACAAGTTAATTAATAAATAAGCTTCTACACACAAATGCAATGTGCAACATTCACAAATAATAATTTTGTTTTGATAATATTTTAGGGGTCTATCTATTTCCCTGAATTGACACTAAAAATTTTGTCTCTATATTATATGCATTTATATGTATTGAATGCAGCTTATAAATAGAATAATTTTAATTGAAAATTGTAAAACATATTAAATATTAGATTACAAAAATATTCCTTATTTCATTTTAAACATTTTCATATAGAGTACTTTCTTTTTTTAGGTTCAACATTATGTGTAACCGTGCGTTTGCACTGACGCGATTTTCACAAAAAAACATGTTTTAAACACTGTTTTCTGTCAATGTATCAAAAAGCGTTTGCATAGCCAAGGAAAATGTTTTAGTGAAATGTGTTTGACAGTTTATTGTACATTACATATTATAACTATATTATATCTATATATCTGCAGAAACAAAATGTTTGAAAACAAATTTGTAGAAATATTGTTATGTTGAAAGATAAGTTTGACGTTTTGTATCAGAGAATTTTTAACAATAATGGGTTCAACTTAGGCATGTCGATTCACTCTTAAAAAAATCGATCTCTGAATCGATTTGAATCGAAAACACTAGAATCGATTATCGATTAAATCGAGGATTAAAAGATCGATTTTCGATTAATCGCGACATTTTCAAACATGAAATTTCAAGAATTTGCGATTTTTATTTATTAAGATTACTAATATTTTATTTAATATTTTTTTAAATAAAATATTAGT